AAAGAAGAGCAATTAAGGCTTTGACTGGTACAGTCAAGAAATATTTTGTGTAAAATTAAGGATTGTGTAAAATTTTGAACGCCTACGTACACCAGCGATATATGGATTTGGACGATGGAAAAAGGGACGCCTTCTCTTTAGCGACTACCTTGAACCGAATAGTTTGGAGACATTTTGCCCTTGTTGCAACCAGTAAAGGTGAAAACTGTAAGGAAAACAATGAAATTCGTTGAAAATGTACAATCTCATCAAATTCTTCAAACTATATAATTCAAACAATCTGCGCTTATGCTCTTTAACACCGCTCAAATATAAGTCAATTAAATTTCCTTTTCGAGTCCATGATGCCTTAGTTGAGGTAATCACTACCCCGAAAATCAAGGTTCATTCGCATTTTTTGCAGATATAAATCTCCAATTTATTACTGTTCTAAAAGCACTACTGCTTTATTGCTTAACTATTATTGCTTAAGCTGGTTCGATCAACTATAAACGTGAAGCTTCTTCTCTCGATTTGTTACCATATATAAAAGTAATACATATCACTTCTTTCGCCATCATTTATGCGGTACCAATGCTTAACATACAATATCAACACAGGCGTTTGTTGAGACTCCTCGATTTCTGCGCCATATGCAGCAAAAGTGTGGCACGTGGCCAGTTACATAAATTCCTAATCAACCTAAACAAAGTATCAGGAAACGACACAACCTTCTCCTTACAGTTTTATTCCACGACTGGCTGTTTAATACTGTTCAACAGACGCCAGCACAAATGTTTTGGCCGACTACTACACCACCCCACTCCTTTATGTAAAATAAATTTTCCAGCCGTAAGCATTGGATTATAACTCCAATAAAACATTATCGCAGTCTGCAAAATAGTAAAAAAATTTTTTTTCGTTACAGCAGAAAATCCTCAAAAAACATTTTGGGAACATTATTTCTAATTTATGATAAAATATCCTCAAGTCAGTTTCTTTTAAATGTTACTTTTGGATGTTTAGTAAGGTATTTGCGTGTAAATTCGCTTAAAAGCCACTTCTGCCCTCACGAAAATTTAACAAACCACTGAGAATTGATTATCCGCGAAAAAATAATTCGATGGTGGACATTAAGGAAAATTCATAAGTCATATAACAAGGAAGTTCTTTTAACTTAGCTTATTAAATTGATGGGATACCCCCACTTTTTTCTCCAGCATCTCTGGTCAGACCCGCTGTTCTTTTTTAGGGCATTTGAGTTAGAAGATAGCACAAGATTGAATTTTTCTGATAGATTTAGTCCCGTTTAAGATCGGACTTCGGGTCATTATGGCTCGGTGATATGATGGCGATATATCTTTCGGCCACGATGCCATCAGTTTTAGGTATTATTGGCTTCATCACTAATTTTTATTGGCATCAGTTTTTTAAATTCTATTCCCAGATGAATTGTGTTTTAATTTGGTTTTCTTCTGTTGTTAGCTTCAAGTCGACTGAGTAGGGTGGTGTTGTGTAGGTTAGTTCCAAGCAGGCTGTGTAAATTTTAACCCCATCGTTAGTCAGAGTATCAAAATTCAGCGAGGATTTCCTAAAGATGCGCTTGCGGTAAACTTGTTCACAAATATAAGTACTTCCAAATAAATATAGACAAACAATTAAAAAAGAACAATTTAAAATAAAAAAAAAAATTAATTAGAGTGAAGGTAAAAAGTAATAACATATCGAATGGAAAGTATTTATATTTCGGAAAATATATGTAAAAAATCTACTTTGGATTTTTCACTCCTATTCAAGTTTCGTGCAAATTTTAAAACTGGCTATGCACAGTTGTTCTGATAGCACCATTAGTGGTTTGTCTTTCTTTATTCTATGTTAAGATATTTCAAAGCTGCCGATCTAATGCCCGAAAACAACCACAGTTACAACTATCCTAACTGGAATTCCATCTTCCTGGTTTGAGAGTGAGTTCGAGAAATTTGACAAATTATCACATGACAATAATTATGTTTTGAATCGTATAGAAATTTGAGTAGAAAATTTTATTTACATAAGGTCAATTTTCGCTGCTTTTGTCGATAGCCGGTCTAGTGACCCTTGTAGTCTCTCGTATATGATAAAAGTATATATAATTAGCTAGCTTATTCAAGGTCTATGGTACTGTGCTCTGGGTTTTATACACCTTTTTGTACATCTCTTGAGTGAATATCTGTAATCCAGTGTGTAGCAGTAGGGGTGAAGCATCTTTGGCGTACGCCAGCTTCTACTTCGACGCGTTATACCAATTCTATATACAGCTGCACTAGCATGCAATGATATCATGCTTTAAGGAGTCTGATTTTTTCTTTCTTCTTCTTCTACCGGTGACTACAAGGGTAAGACTTTTCCAAGAGGCGCGGCCATTGTCGACAGTAATAGAAGACATTCCTTTTTCCATCGTCTAAGTCGATATATTATTATTCCACCTTTACATTCAAAATCTTTTCTCACCGTATCAGTCCAGGTCTTGATTGGCCCACCTCGCTTTTGACGCCACTCATCACAGGGCAAGTAACGAAATATATGTCAACTCCTGTGGTGGACGACGAAGAACGTGCCCTAACCAGCGAAGGCGACGCTCTGTGATGGTACTGTTAATGGAAGTGATATCTGAATGAAGATGGTTGCGATCTTATGAGATTTTATCCACTCGGCGAACCCTTAAAATGTAGACATGAGTGAACAAAGGCATATAACTTCTCAATATCCTCTACTCTTATTTCCCCTAGCCATATAGCAAGATCGAACGAATCGCGACTGTATAAATGCGTACTTTCGTTTTTATGAATTTGATTATTTTCTCTCGAACATCGGCATGTAACATGGCTTGTTAGAGTGGTTATAATTAATTCTATAATTCGAATCAAAAGTTGCGACAAAATCGGTAAAGCATGTATTAATATATTGCTGACACCTGTGGTGTTCTCATTTCAATACTCATGTCAGCGTGAAAATGCCATCAGCACAACCATGTCTTGGCCAAAATCCATCTTGATTAGGGCGCATTATGCTACCATGCACTGCTACGAGTCTCTAACAGAAAGAAAGCAAAAGTCTTCCGATCCTTTAAATGTACAGTAGATTCTTTTTTGGGCAACATTTTGAAGGCCTTATGCGCTGAAAACAAATTTTATTTTTTAAAAATATTTTTGTTGTTTTACTTTGTAATTTTATGCTATTTTGTATTCAGATATTGCTCAGCTGATTATGATTTTCATATGCTTTCATATTGCTTATATTATTGAAAGAATATTGTTGTTGTTATGCACCAGTATTAACTGCTTGAAGTTAAAATAATTAAGACAATGAAATGTGTTGCACCATTTTTTACCTAAACATTTTGACTTTATGTTTATTTTTGCCTTGAAAATGAAATCTGCTGTAAAAAATTTTGGAAATTGTCACTTAAGAATTTGAAATTTAATGTTGACAGTCATTTTATTTTATCATTTCAACTTTCTAAAAATCTTAAAGATTATTAAAATTACTTTTTTTCCAGGAAATTAATTTTGCTGTCTAATGGCTGATTCGTTTAAGCGTATCATCCTAATAACTGGTTCCACTGATGGAATTGGGCGACAGACTGCGTTGGAATTGGCAGCGCATCACGTTTGTTTTATTTTGGTTAAGGCCTCCATAAATCTTGCTTTTAATCAAATAACATCGTACTTTTTCGAATAGGGGGCTGTGGAAGAATATTCATCGTTTAATTTATGTATATTTTCTCCTCCTTCATATTTCTTTTTCTATTATTCATCGTCCACCTTTCATTTTTTTTTCTTTAAATTTTCTAAAAGATTACATGAGAAATCACAAAATATTTTATAGAAGACTAATTTTGTAATCATACATGGCAGAAATGCAAAGAAGTGCGAAGCAGCAATAGATTACATAATCAAAGAAAACAAACTGGAGAATCGTTCGAATCTAGACTATGTTGTTGCTGATTTTTCAGATTTATACGAGGTTATTTTTTTTATTAGATCTTTGATTTATTTAAATTATTTTTGGTTTCTTTATAAATTTCTTTATATATTTCCAGATTTAACTGGTTGTTGATTCATTTGTGCAAATGGTGTTTTGAACCGCATATGACTACAGCTTTTCCATTCATAAAATGATATGGCGATAATATTTTAAAAATATTTGATTTAATTCAATGAAAAGTTTCTAGGTTGCAAAAATGGCTGAAGAAGTGGAAGAACGATTCCCTGGCTTGAATGTGCTGCTTTGCAATGCTGGAGTACTTTTACCGAAAAGAACAGAAAGTCGAAATGGTCTAGAACTTACATTTCAAGTTTGTATTTGTATTTCTTTCATTATTTATATATTATAACAGGCATCCGAAACTTTTTCTCGCATATTACAAAGTTAATATTCTGGAAATGATATTTTCTTTAGTAAATCAAGTTTCCTTTGCAATTTTTGCATAATGTATAATAACAGTTAAGAAAAGAAAGAATCATACATTTTTAATATGTATATATATACAAAGTAGAGCATCGTGGCTTAGTGGCAAGACAATGAACATTTCGATAGCACAGACACTGTTAAACGCGATTTTATCGCGAGAAAAGGGACTGACGAGAGTGGGATTCGAACCCACGCCTCCGAAGAGACTGGTGCCTTAAACCAGCAATTGCTACCGACCATCGAGGCTTTGGTTCAAGTCTGGCCAACACACTACTCCTCATCAGGCGACAATGTCTCCTAAAGGAAAATGAAATGGTTCAGTCGGTTGCTGTTCAGTTCGGAGCGCTAATGCTGAAATTGTACTCCCGGCAAGAGTAAATCTGTCCAAAAATCCTGATGCTAGTAACTTAAGTGTACATGTGTATATCGTTAAAGAATTTCCTAGCATATTTATCTAGTCCAAGTCAAAAGAGCGGATTTAATTAATAGTTGTGAAAGCTCTTTAAAAAAAAAAAGCTATATTGAATTATTGTTTCACATCTTTATGCGAAAAATTTTTCGTACTGAGAAGCAACGTAGTTTTTTCAATATTTCTTTCTTCTGCTCTTTTCCCAAATTATTCTGAGGTTCTGCGGGAAAAAAATTCTTTAAGAACGCTTACTGTCTCCAGTTAGGCTTGCTCTGACTTATCGGATCAGGCATTTGAAAGACAATTTTATTTCTGCCGAGAGTGAAACGGAACACCATCGCTCGCGCTCCAAAGTAAGGGTAATCCACAGAGCCATTCCAGCTTAAGAAAGATTTCTTTTTTTGTTTAGACATTTTCATATTGTTTTGGTCACTCGTCATTGGTTACTTTTTTTTTCAAATTTAGGCAGATTTTAAGGACCCGTTCTTCATATTTTTCTTCTTTTTTGTTTTAAATTATGTATAGTGGTTCTCAACCTTTCTCATTCAATAGTTCTCCTGGAAGACTTGCTTGCCCTTTCTCTTTCTCTTTCAGATATTTTGGCTTATATTTTTGTTTTTTGGCGAAGTACAAATTAGGTCGATTGAAGATTCAAAAATATAAATATTTTCCATTCAATATTCTTTCTTGAGAAAAATTGCTTTATTTAGAACAAAAAATTAGTTTCAAATAACTTAAAAAATTGAACAAAAAACTCATAAAATAGAGAAAAATATTTTATAAATAGTACAAATGGAAAAAAATGTAAAAAATTTATTAAATGTTTTTGGGATAAATAAATATTTTGATTTTAAAACAATTTTTTTGAATTATAGTTTTGAATTAAGAGTTAAAAGTTTTAATCTGAATCTTATCCTAATAATAAAAACGAGTGATAAGCAAAATTTTTTATACTTTTGGTTGGAGATTCGATAATATCGAAGATTTAATATCCAATCTCTCATGCTTTTATTATCAAATGATCAAATATCCAATCTTTCACGCTTTTGTCATCAAATGACTACAAAAGCTAGGTTCAACCAGATAAGAACTTGGAAAACTTGTCGCAAGATTGAAAAAATTTATTTTGAATTTCTGCAAAAAGGCTATTCCTGAATCTTGCTTGAAGTGCTGCTGAGTGGCTACACAGATCCACAAGGCATTTTTGTAGTTCTAGAATTACATTTAGCCTAAATGGATCTGTCAACAGTTGTGAGACTTCCATTTCTGGTATAATAAATCTTTGAATTTAGTTTTGTTTTAGGAGTTTTCATAGAATAAAAATGCTTCAGTTTACTCACAGTAAGTGCATCGTTGAATGAAATCAGAATCTTTTTGCATCTTTTCATCTAATTGTAGTGCATCATCGGATAAAATTTTTGCACTCTTTAAATATTGGATTATAAGTCAAAAATTAACTAAATTATGACAAAATGGAAATCGTTAAACGATCGTAACGGCCTATGCCCGCTTTGAAGGATAGATCTGCAATATCTCGATCATCATTGTATATGCTCCAATTTTATCTACAGGTGACAGGGATAAAGACAAAATCTATGCAGTACTTCATTTGTTTACAACATATCTCCATGTCATAGTCATAATCGAGGTAGGCTGGAATACCCTCGTAGGTCATAATGTTGCCATAGGTCATAATAACGATGAATTTAGTAATTGGCAAATATGGCATTAAAGTTCGTTGTGTCCATAGAGAAGCCTTCTTCACTTTGCCGAAGAATATGAATTT